GGTTATGACATATGCGAGCAGCGTCGATAAGAATGCGGAGCGTGGAACATGGATCTATTGAATGGACTCTGAGGATCAATTACTCATCCCACAAATTACGATATTTTCAATCACATGAATCTGATATCCAACTTGAAGCTTGTGCAAACTTATGCGTGTCGCACAGTGGGGCATGGAATATACACGCAGGGCATGCCACGTGCCAAGCATGGGTCAACCATTACCGACCTATCCTTCCGGACGTATATTGGGATACGCTGGTGGCATTGAGTGGCGTGGCTGTATCACTCTCCACTCTAGAGGCATCTTCGTCAAGTGGACTCTAGCATTGACTTGATTCATGGATTTCCTCGAGCTTTGGTCGCTCTGGACTCGGGACAGCGGTAGCATGATATGCAGTGGTTCTCGCAATATTGGCGATCCCAATGTGCTTTCTATGTAATAAATGTGCAATCAATCCAACCATATATTCCTGCGAGGCTGGAATCATATTTACTCGTAGCGTCGTGATCGTGATATTATTAACTAGAACGCTTTATTCTCAACATTAATGTACATTCTACATTCCTGTGCGCCGCTGCCCCTCGTATGGCTTGCGCACATGGATTCACGTGTATCTCTAAGAACGCTCGCTTGACCCAGGGGCGTTTTCTGTGAACCAGTGATCGTCCGAGCTTCACTCAAGTTGATAGTCATCGTGACTTGTATTAGAGCGGTTGCCAATTCAATGTACAAATGATTGGGAGCGCGTTACTTGCCGATATGAAACAACTCGAATATATCCGAGTATTTATGTACACATTTCCAAAGGCTAATTCCGCTCCCAGTGAGATAAATTCCAGCGGGCGGGGCGGCTATGCCAATCCAAGATATCCTCAGCAAGATCAAACCCTCCCGAGGGGCGGCTATGCCAATCCAAGATATCCTCAGCAAGATCAAATCCTCCCGAGGGGCGGCTATGCCAATCCAAAGATATCCTCAGTGAGATCAAATCCTCCCTGGGAGGGGCGGCTATGCCAATCCAATACACCCCTCCACATATTCTTAGCATACCCGGGTTTTCGACTCGTGTACAGCCACCACAACGAGTATCATCTTGCGGCTCAGGGAGGCATGTACTTATGCTTTACCTGATATGACCTCCAAGTTTCAGAGCCTTACTCTTCGTAGTTAGTGAGAAGTCAAAGACCGGTAAAAAGTTCTGTCCACATATTCTCAGCATACACGTGTTAAAATTGCGCCTCAAAATACCAACTTTTACTGGGGGAGTATATTTATAACTCCGCTCCTGATCTAATGCTATACATCAACAGAAAGAGAATCGTTCATAATGGTATCCCTCCATGTTTCACTCTCATAAAACGACACATAATTTTCCTAGTTAAGGTGGGATGAGGAACAAGGTGCGTATATAGTAAGAATTAAGATGGGGCCTCCTAGAGGAGGCATCCCGATTAGTGA